ATATATATATATATATATATATATTTTTCCTTGATAGCTTTCCTTTTTGGTGGAAAGTACTCTTTGAAAAACTCCCAATAACCCACAATTCACATCAGCTATAGGCTCAAAAAAGATAAGTTGTTTGTAGCTATTTCAACTTCTATAAAAAGTTCAGTACAATTGATGCATATAGGAAGGTTACAAATTATAGTCTTCTGATATGGAAGATTTTGGTAGAAATTGGTCAGACTACTTTTCTACTGCTTCGTAGAAGCAGCGCTTTAATGTAAAGCAGACTTTAATGCTTAGAGTGCAGTGGGTCACATATGCAGTTATATTGCTATTCTAAAGACTATTTTGACCTATTTCCTTCCCTTTCATATAGGCCCAGTAAGTGCTAAAATCAAACTCATCAACACCGCTTTGCCCAAAAAAACCCAACAATTTGACCTTTGCAAAATTATAAAAGCAGTTAAAATTTTTCTTTACAACAGTTTACATATGAATAATTAACACACACAAAGGCTAGGCTGCAAAGGCATTTTATTGTCCCCTGGCATGTTTTCTCAATAAAGAAATTAATGAAAAAAAAATGCAAAAGCAGTATTGTCACCATGAATGTTGAAATAATTTGTTTTACACATATAACAGCAGCAGCAACAATGCCTGTTTTCTACCTTCAGCTGTTATCAAGGCTGAGCTGGCTTTGAATTCTTAAGACCTGTTTTTCATGTATAAAATACAAGACCATTGCATTGTCAGCAGCATTTTTTAAATCCCCTTTGGGTTCCCTCTGATGCACTTAAACAAATCCCCGGTTTCTTAAATGCAGAAAAGAGATAAGATTTTAAAAACTCATGGAAATGAGCTCACTGTGCTATTCCCACATTCTTTTTAACAGAAATTCATTTTAAAAGGTCTAGGGAGTTTCAACTTGAGAGGCTCAACTTTAAATCTAAGCAGCCAATAGTAAATATACATATAAATAAGACTCGCTTTCTTTTAAAATCTTCATGGGAAAGTCAATTCCCATTGCTCAATGCTTGTCAGCTTTCTAAACATTAATAAATATATTACAAATATTTACAAGCTTTAGTTTTTCTATTCTGACATGGAGATGAAACGTAAGCCATACATAAGACCTGTGGGTAGCTTCAAGAGGTATGCAGGCAAAGTGGATTGGCCCTTGACATTTGGAATGGGTTTGGGACACTAGCACAAACAGTGAAGTGGAAAGCTCAAAACAGTCCAATTCTCCCTGATCCAAGCAAAGAGTGGACTGAGCTGCTTTCGCCTTTGCATGCGAAACAGAAATAGAATAGCATTTCTTTGTTTCCTCTGCCAAATTAAAGACCAGCCCATTGTACAAGGCCCTATTCTCCCTAATACCAATGGGATCAACCAGCATGGAAAAAACTCAGGAGAATGGCAGCTCAGCTGCAGAATTCTCCTTTTGAGGTGCCTGTAGGAGCCTCTGTGTGCTAATATGGAGGGGCTAAGTCAGGCAGGCAGGGTTAGGACTGGAAGCAGCCAGCCTTTGCACCATGCTGGCCTCGCACACTGGTGGACTGTAAGTGGCCATTCAGTACTTCACCGGATCATTTCTTGTTCCATGTTTGTACAGTGCCTAGCACAACAGGGTCATGGGCCTATGATTAGGACTCCTAGGCGCTACAGTAACACAAACACCACAATTTAGTAAGCGTCAGCACTCCTCTACAGCATCAAGCCCCCTATGAGGATGCAGTGATATGGGAGAGAAGATCTCAGCAAAGGAGCCAGATTGCCAGAGGGTAGCAGGGATGTTGCACAGAAAAATAGGCCTTCATGGATGGTCCAGGATCTGGAGAGAAGGAGTCCGATTCACTATCCATACACTGGACATGCGGCATTATGAGGCCATGGCATCTGCCACAATCCACTCACAACATCGAGAAAACATGCGGGATACTCTGGACCTGTGAGAGCCTCAATGACATTATGGAACATATATCCTGCTTGGTCCTGCAACTTTTTCCAAGGTGCCATGGAGAAAAGCAATAAATAGATGATGTATTGGGTGAATAGAGAATGTTTTCCCAAGAAAAACTGCAAACAGAATGGGAGTTTAAAATAAAATTCCCATGTGCTTCCGTAGGAATTGGCCTTCTGGTTTGAATACTACACAATATATCAAGGGAAAAAGGGGTGGAGTTGGGCTGCAGGAATTAATTTTGGCACAGAAAAAGGCAAAAAAAGTGCTACCATATCTATCATATGATTATTAGGGGCTCTTTCATTTCCCATTTCATATGAAGTGCTCTGTGCTACCCCCACTGTCCCAAGTCCTTAACACATCAACATATTGTAATTCCTCTAACATGAAAAAACTATCATCCCGAGGTTACTAGATGGAGGGTATAACAGCTTTATGACCCTCTGCAGAAAGGGAAAGGTTAAGCATGGAAACTCACAGATTTCTGAATTTCCTGTGATCACCATTTCAGTCAAACCCTTAACATTATCACTGGATGGATACATGCTGTGTGCATAAACTGTTTATGAACATATGATTAAAAGAACATGAGGATGGTTGTGTCCTCACAAAAAGAGAAGTAAGGGAAGATGAGGGAAGTGTTTGCTCCTGTAGGCATGCTGTCATGGCTCAGCTTAAATTAAGCCGACTCCAGCTATGCATTTTGCGTAGCTGGAGTTGAGTACCTTAAGCCGACCTTCCTGGTCTAGTACAGACCAGACCATGTTTACCTAATACTAGACTAGCTGCTTTGGAGTCATTACAGTTTAACATGCAACTATGCTTTGAAGGGAAAATCCTGCATAGCTGGGCAGCACAGAGCCCAGCCTTCTGTGAAACTGGAGTAGCTCCACTGCATGAAAGGCAGGGATCTGGTTAGGGAAGCCTGGAAAGGTGTCTACTGCCCTCCCACACACCAGGGATGGTGCAGCAGCAGTAGCAGAGTGGCTCTAATGTTGCTCAGTTGAATATGGAAGCCATACTCTGATCACCAACTCAGAACCCTGGCAGCAGGTTGAGAATTGAGCTCCTAGGGACTTAAAATGCATAATATTTGGTTTAAGAGATTAGCATTTATAAATATGTATTTAGAGCTTGAAAACAGATCAATCTTACTTGTATTATGAAAACCCTGTCCCAGCTAGTTTGGAGCAGTTCTGAGGTATCTCTCATGAATCTCTAGTACAGAAATGTTAATAAATAAATCTGAATCTTTCATAGTATGATATTCTATAATACACCACTGTATCGATATTAAATATGGATCTGGGTATGAAAAACATTATGAACAAGTTACTGTGTACGCTGATTTTCAAGTATTAATAACTTTGTCGTGTTAGCTTATTTTTAAATACCAAAATGACCTCTCTCCATATTATGGATTAAACTCTGAATATGTTTAAAAACTCTGATTATTGCTTTAAAAACAAAACATTTTGAATATAAAAAAAAGAGCAAAAAGCATGTGATGTTTGTTAATATTGTAGCATTATTGGAACTTTTAACAGACACACTTTTCCCCCACACACATTTGTTAAAAAACAAAACAAAGTGCTCGTAATATGGGACTTCATGGTCCCAAATTTCAACAGGATTCCAAATTTTACAGTCAAATTATAAACCCCTGAAAAAATGGGATTTATAACGAATGTGCTCCCAAACTTTAATTATAGCAGTGCTTGTGTGTTCCACTATAATACAAATATATACATATTACCCACCTTTCTCTCTGGGTAACTATGTTACATACTTTACAGGAATTCAGTTGAACTTAAGAAGCCTTCCTTACATCCTCCCCTCCCCATCGAGTGTACAGTTCCTCCTACCACTAAGACTACAACTACCAAATATAATAATCATAATACATTCAAGATAAGGAATAAACTACTCTTACCTACACAGGAGACACTTATAATTACACTGGGGCATAGAAGTACAGCAGGTCAGGGGAATGGCCCCACATGTGGACCTACAGACTATTCAGATATTTTGCACTAGAAGACAGGACACTATGAAGTTCCACATTGGACCATGATCTCAGAGCAGTAACAACCGTTGAAAGAAAGAGAGTGCTCGTAGCACTAGCAAAACCTTCTAGGTCTTGTGCTGTGAGATGACAAGACCAACAGCCCACATTAGGTATTTTGTGAACTACATTGCTCCATGTGTCATATAAACTAGAACATGAACACTACTAGGTTGGTAATGCCAATATGACTTACTACTTACAACAGTGCTAACATTGGCCCCCGCGCTAAATTTGATTCTCCTTTAGGAATACAATTCAGCTCCTGTCCTGAAAAACAGTTCATGGAATGATAAAAAGCTGAATGCAAATAAAGGCTTTCTAGCTCCACAAGCCACACACAAACACAAAGGCAAGAGTATCAAATTATTTTTTCCTTCCTGTGCAAATGCGTTTTTGGCTGACCTGTCACATATCATTAGCTATAAATAGGAACAGAGTGTCTGTGGAAACCATAGAGTAGCAACCCCTGTGATCTAATGCAAATTCGAGCTTAAGTAAAATGAATGGAAGGAAAGTTTCAGTGATCTCTCTCACGGATGCTGATCTCATGAAGACAAAAGCATAGAAAAAGGCACAAGACTCAGATCTCATTGATAGTTCTCTCAGAAGGGCTGTATTCAGAGGTGCCTGGTGATGACATGTAGAATGACTGTGTTTTCCTTTTTAACCTGGCTCGTTTGTTGGCCAGAGAGAGGCTGCGCCGGCTTGAGCTGATGATTTCGGAAATAAATTTTTTGCAGTCCACACACACCTCCATGGTGCTCCAGTCCTCCATTAACTCTTTGGGAAATTGTAGGTCTTCATTTGATTTATCCACAGACTTGGATTTTGAGGATAATCTAAAAAACAGAGAAATTGTCATACTTAATACCATGATTTACCATTCAGACACCAGTGCAGACACCTCCCAAAGAGAAAGAAAACACTAGTTCTGTCCCAAGTCGAGGCCCTCTGATGCAGGAGAGGGGAGGCAAAGGGGGCAACTGCCCCAGGGACTGGGGCTACCAGCTGTGTCCACTGCTACTGGACCTTAAAAAACTGGTGCTGGAGCCCTGCGCCTTGTTCTCTGGGAGGCTCTGAGGGCCCGTCCCTTTCTGGGAATGTGGAGTGAGTCCTCTCTCAAGTGTTGTGCTCAACTCTTGTCCTTCTCCTGACTTAATGAGGATGCAAAAAAAGCAGCAAGGAGAAATTGGATGTTGCAAGACAGGATAAGATTACATGGTTATTCAGTGAAGGCTAATATAAAATATGATTCGGCAAAGAGGATTTTATGAATGACTACATAGATATCTTAATTTGGCTAATTTGTGTATAGGCACCATGGCAGAAGTGAATTTTGAAGAAGAACGTGCACACAGAGAGAAGGGCCTGTGGAGCTACATCTTGGCCTGATCCAAATATTATTTCAGAGATTAGCTTTAACAGCAGTCTGTGTTCAAAAGGTAAAACCAAAAGATTATTTTATAATGTTGCCAAGCAAAGTGAAATAAACTTATGTCTAGAGCAGGGATCAGCAACCTATGGGTCACGGGCCAAATATGGCTCACGAGGGAGCTAGATATGGCTCTTCTGGAGCCCCAGCTCAACCTCTCCCTAGCTCCCCCTGCAGCAGGGAGCCAGTGCTGGCGCAACAGCATTATAACCCCCCGCAAGACTGGAATGACAGTGTTGGCTTGCTGCGGGCAACTGGAGGAGAAAGCCCTGAGCCTCCCCACTGGATCTGGCATGAGTGGAACAAGTGGGGAACATGTACTGCCCTTTTCCTTCCCCTGGCATGCGGGGAATAAGTGGAACCAAAAATGGCTCCATGCGTGCTGCCATTTTCCTTCTCCTGGGAAACACTTTTCCCCTGGGACACCCCTTGAAATCCTTCCTGGAGGCTTCATTCTGGCAAATGGGAGCAGCAAGAGGCCAGATAGCCTGCTCCCTGGCCAGACACCCTGCCCCCAGCCCGCTTCTGACTGGAGCACCCAAAGAGTGAGATGTTTTAGTTCTGATTTTTCTGTGGGTCACTGGCCCTCAACACAAAAAAGGTTCCCCACCCCGCCATAAATAAAGACAATGTTGAAATCTTGTGTGTTGGACATAATATTTTACTTTATTTAAAAGTGAAGCCTGGCCAACACTCCTGCACCCTCCCCCCATCAACACTGAGCCCATCATAGACCTGAACCCCCTGACATTTGCCCCTCATACTTCCACATACCCCAAATCCAGCACTCTCACATCCCCAGACTCCTGTACCCCCACATTCCCAGCTCCCTGCCATAAGACTGACAGAAGATGGCCTGAATGTGGGCATAAAGCTGGATTTGATCAGTTATGATGTAAACTTTAAAGAAATGTATGAAAAGATGCAGCAGCAGAAGTCTCATTAAATAAAGTCTGCGAGTACAATGTTTCATTTATTCTATTATTAATCATTATATCAATTATCAATAATATTAAGTTGTATATTTTCAGTCATGCAAATGGGCATTCTAATACGGGCTCTTTGTTGACCACTCTGAATTTTGATGCTCTTTGGTTTGAAAAGGTAGCCGACCCCTGGGCTAGAAAGTAGAAAGAGTTTGACATATGTAAGTCATTGTCTAAAAAGGGAGATTATTCCCTATTCCATTACCAAGATCATGCAGATGTTTCTTCAAAGGAGACATACACACCAGAAAAAATGTCAGCGTATACATCAGCTATACTGATATTGCTGTCATTGTAAGCTATAGTACAGAGAGAGGACAGAGCACATTTTAAATATTATGGCAGCAAGTCTAATGTAAGTAAATTAATTTATTTACTACTCAAGTAAATATAGTTTACATTTACTGAGTAGTACATGAAAAGTAATCAGGATAGGTTCTGTTCCACTAGAAATTTAAGGAAATACCTCAATCTTTATACACTGGAAAAATAAAATTGGCGAGGAAAAACACTTATCTTTCGGTTTATAAAAAGATACAGCAAACATTGGAAAATTAAAACAAGATCTTAGTAGATTATGTCCCGTTAATTACTATCCGACTGAGAAGAAGATCTTGTGAAGAGCTGCTTACCAGAAGCACAGCTGAACTAGAAATGTCTCTCACCTGGACATGCTCTTAAGTGGACGGTGATGGCTGGTGGAAGGTTCTTCTGGTCTCATAAAACTTTCTCCTCTCTGCAAAGCAGAAGGTCCCAGAGAGAAGATAGGAAGGGTAGAGTATGGCTTTGATGGCAACCGCATCTGTTACAAGAGCAGGAGAATGACTGTGTGAATTATTGTCACCAAAGACACAGCCCTTCTGAAAGGAACAAACTGTAGGTTCTTGAACGTACCTTTTTGCAACACTGTGAACATACAGGCCTGTGTAGAAAAGTAAAAGTATGAATCTTTCAACTGAAAGAAATGTTATTTAAGTAAAACAGCATAGGGTGAACAGAGTTTCATATTTTCTGCCTTATTATCACCTTAAAATTTGCTCAGTTTACAAATAAACATTTTCCCCAACTGCTAACACTACCAACTGAAATGGAATCTGAAATTCACTTTGTTCTTTTGGGTTCACATGACACCCCAGTAAAGAGGATTCGGTAGAATCTCTCTCGTTGTCTCATACCCACATGGACTCTGCTGGGCTTATAAGGGAGTGCTTATTAGCACTGGAACGGTTACTATTTAATTCTAAAACCTGAGCAACTCTGTATCTGAACACATTAAGGGATCAGATATCCTGAATAAGGAAGAGTCATTCTTCTGATCATAACTGCATTTCAAAACCAAAACCAAACAACACTGTGAATTAAAAATAGAAAACAGTGGGTGCTTGTTATCAGATACCAAAAACTCACCTCTTACAGAACTGACAAGTGTAGGACCAGGTGAAGAAAGAAAACCGCCTTGTTCGACAACAAAAACAGAGCTAAAGAAATTGAAAACAGAAGATACTGCAATGTTAGCAGTTCGGTTCTGGAAATAAAATGCATGCTTCTAACTGGGCCTTTGGTGAAGATGCAGAGCCTGAAGTTAAGTTAGATTTATTTGATGAGGTCAAAATGAAGGAGCCCAGAGAGGAAAAGAAGACACTAATTATTTTTCACAATCTGTAATCTCTGGGGAAAAAAATACACTGGCAGATGGGTGCCCTGTTATTAAATCCCTCTGGGTCACATGATTTCCCAGAAGATTTAAGTTCTTTTTAGCTTGTTACTCATGAGCCTCTGAATATTGCACCTAAGACTCAAAGAAACAAGAGTGACTGCACCCTGCTTACCTTTGAAGGACAATGGAGCCTCACAATAATCCCCTTGCTTTAAAACTTGGAATTTACAATTCAGTCAGGCAATAGGAAAAAAGATTTCTCAACTGCTTTATTCTACATTAATTAAAATAATTTGTTGATATATTTCATTGTCTCTTTCATATATTAGGGCTTGGTTTCACTCTTAATAGAGGGAAAGCTTTTCTGACTACTAGGGGTCTGGGTCAAGTTGTGAATCCCATCTTGTTTTGTAGATACCATTTTGTTTCAAGGGTTCCATTTTATTTTGTAATCTTCATGTTTGAATGTGACCCTCTTATGTTGCATTGCAATCGCCAGTGTGGAACTCAGCACCTATTTTGTAGTGGGAGCTTCAAACCTAGTTGAATGTATGAGAAATTGGCATGCAGCAATTCAAAGCCATCAGTACTGTTTGTCTCTTTGCTGCCAGCCCAGCAATAAGAAAAAAGATTCTTTACAATGGAAGCTGAGAGATGGTGGAGGTATCACAAGGGAAAATGCCTAACCAAAGGGCTACCTAGGTGGGAATACTCTATATTGCATGCTAGGAGAACAGGCAAAAGAAAGAGAAGTTAGGACTGGCTGCCTGACCTACGGATGCTGACCAAATCCTGAACTCATAGGAGGGTGAGATCAGACTTGGGGGCTGTACTGAGGATTTTGGTTTTTTCAAACTCGCTCATGTGCTTTGTTAAGAGCAAAGTATCTGTGATTAAGAAATTCCTTAGCTAAATTAGTCTTTGTTCTTTGCTTGCCTGCCGTATTGTCTCTGAAGGGCCAAATCAGGAAGCTCAAAGCACTCACAAAGAGGTGGAACATATGTAAACAATTTGGAACTCGGTAGGCAGGATTGGCCTGAGGCCGGCTGCGGCAGCTGGCGCCCCAGGCAGAAGGTGTGATCGGCGCCCCCGCCTGCACAGCCGTCAATGACCGTGACGTAATCACGGGGTGCTCCGGCACCCCGTGACATCATCATCGGGTGCCCGGGCTGGCGGCGCCACAGGCAACTGCCTAGTTTGCCTAGGTTCACGGACCGCCCCTCTTGGTAGGGCTGCATCACTGGTTCTATGGTCCAAATGAGGTACCAATTCTCAAGAAGGGTAGCAGACACAGGATATAGGAATAATAACCAGACACTATCCAGAGCTAGGAATAGTGACCAGACACTATCCAGACCCAAGGCACTTAGAAGCACGTGGAAGCCAGCAGCTGAGTCCACTCAACAGACTGGTGTCTATTCAGACAGGGGAACTGACCTTGTTTATGACAACAACTATTGTAAATGCCACCATGTCTTTATGTAGGATCAAACATAAATGCTATATTCCTATCCATGTTTTTGAAGTTTCCATATATAAACAAAGGAAACTAGTCCATGTGCTACTTCTTGTAGAGAAAGTTTAGTTTCCCCAATATAGTCAAGACTTATTGAAAGTCAGACTTGTTAATTACTAATGAAAACCTGGCACCTGAATTCTATTTCCAATTCATGTTCTTTCAAAGCATGTCTATACTGGGGAGTTATTTCAAAATAACAAGACGAGCATCCACACTACCAACTCTGTTATTTCGAAATAACTCCTCCTGCTCGTGAAGAGGAATAAGCTATTTTGAAATAGTTATTTTAGGAGTTATTATTTTGAAATAACTTATTTCGAAATAACCTAGTAGTAGACATAGCCTTTCTAACTGGAATCTATGTGATTTACTTCCCTCCCTAACAGCTCTCAGTGGATCAGCTGAACTAATCATACCTTTCCTTTTTTGAGGGCAGTGTAGACATCTTTATACTGTTGGTACTTTTCCAGCTCTGCCTTCACCAGCACCTGACGAATGTGCATGACTTCCTCTACTGTCAGAGCCAGGCATTCCACTGGGTAACAAAATTCCTCCTAGAAAAACCAAAATTGATGTAACTATTGTAATTCATCTTTTCAAGATTTCAGCCTTGAAAACCAGCCACCTAGTTAGTAACTTCAAAGAAAAGATTTCACAACTCAAAAACAGAATAGTTCTGGATGATCCATGGGCATCACATGAGTTCCAAACCAATCAAGAGACTGATAATATGCAGTTTTTTTCTATGAGCACTTATGTCATCTGACATCTGTTTCCAATTATTTGATTTTATTTATTATGAATATTTGTTTTAGCCAATTACAATTAAATTTTATAATTTGAAAGGACAAGAGGGGTTTTGATACATAGTTGTACAAGACATTTCTTGGTGCTGTTCCCTTTGATAATATACTGCTTAAAGACAAGAGTTTCTCTGAGACTTTGTGGTGCCCAGAGTAGCTGAAGAAAGTGGTTAGTAGCCCTTCAAAAATAACTTTTTATTCAATGGTACCAGATATTTGTAAAGATGGTTATAATTAGATTCCAGAAATAAAATCTAGACCAAAACTATTGAAAATCTTTTATAGACAGTTAATACTCACAGCTTTCCTTCCCTCTAAAATATCAACTTAAACTTTATTAAAATAATCTTAAATATAATGCTTGAGCAAAAGTGTTATTCTATTGTGGTATTCTTAGTAGCAGGGAATCATGCCCAGGCTACTAATTATGGAACTACTGCCCATCTGTGAAACTTCCATCCATGCTGTGCCAATACATTTAAGAGAGTAGTAATCCTGAGCATATGGCCTTTAACGGCAGTACCACCGAATAAAAAGCCTTGTTCCCATTTATAATCCAGCCTTGAGGCTGATTGCATGATTCTAACAGAAAGACAGAACTCTGGGAATTCCCCTCATTTATCATAGAGAACCTGTAACAACGAAATTTAATGTTCTCTGAATAAATACAGGAAATCTCCTTTGTACACACAAAGACACTGCTGACTGGACTCTCCAGACAGCTTGGGTATCTAATTGATATATCAGAGTGATGATTCAGATTAGTTGTAAAATGCTCAATTCAGATAGTCTTAAAATTATGTTCTGTTCTGACCTTCAGTTAGAGAGAAAATAATTTGATTTCTGTTGCAGACTTGGCAAACATTAGCATTTAGGAACCACTATATTTTTAAGAACTGTTGTCTTATCTACCAAAAAAAGGAACATTAAAAAATTCACCGTGTTTAAGGTACCCATAAAAAGCAAAAATTGGGTTAATTTTGGTTCTCTTTGACAAGCCAAACCTCTATGGTATGTTCGTACTGGTGAAACTTAGGTTTCTGGAAAAAAACAAACTATCAAAACCAATGCTCTGAGAGGTGTAAAATTCCATGAACAAAATAAATATACCCTTTCATTAACAGCAACCTTGCATGAAACTGCATCGAACAGTATTGAATTTTGGATTTGTATGATGATGACAGCACTTTTAGATATCAAAAATGATTTGGGAAAGATGGAGAGGAAGAAGAACAGATGAGAAAGTGTGGGGCAGGCAATGCCAATGAGATATTTATTTTCTGTTTGTGCTAAGTGTGATTTACTGAATGCTTTTGATCAATCACACTTTTCAGTATTTCAGAAAAGTATTGCGATTTTTTGCTTTATTATACTCAATCATCATATTTAATCCTTCCCTTAGGGTGCGTCTACACAGCAACATTATTTCGAAATAACTTAGTCCACATCTACACAGCAGGCGGGTATTTTGAAATAATATCGAAATACTGTCAATCTGGAAGACTTCTTACTCTGACTCCTGTAACCATCATTGTATGAGGAGTAAGGAAAGTCAGTGGATGAGTGCTCTATCTTGAAATAACTGCTGTGTAGATGCTCCCAATTTCAAAATAAGCTTTTCTGAAATAAGCTACATAATTGACGTAGCTCAATTTGCGTAGCTTATTTCAAGTTAAGCCCTGGTGTGTAAACGCACCCTTACACAACAAAACGGTCATTATGCTGAATATTTTAAACACCAATCTGTGGCATATTGGATGACATATGATAAATATACATGTTGCAACTTTTAAAGTTTAGCCTGTTTAATATGTGTCTTTAAATTTACTAAGATGCTTTATCAATAAAGTTTGTTTCTGTACAACTAGTACTTCAGGTGTTTACTAAGTAGCAGAAGTATGATGTAGGGATGTTAAATATCGGATAATTGAATAGTCGAATAACCTCATGAATTCTTATCAGTTAGTCGACTAGTCCCTGGGGGTGGGGTCAGCAGCCAGTGCACGTCACTCCCAAGAAGTCCCCTGCCACTCTGCACTGGTGCCTCTGTATCAGGCAGGAGCTGGTCTGTGAGGGGAGCCAGTTTAAAAACCTGTCACCCTGTGCTGTTGCCTCTGATAAAGAGGCAGCAGTTCAGGGTGGCAGCAGCCCGTGTCTGGGAAGAGGGAGCGGACTCCTGGACCCGGTGTGAGCCGGAACGGAGTTGGGCTGTCTGCCTGCCCGACTCCTAACACACTTTAAATGCAGAGCTACAGCAGGGGTAGGTCCTGGACCTGTCGCAAGTCAGGACTGAGCTGGACTGCTGGCCAGCCTGCTAAAACATTTACTGGCAAAGAGGGAAGAGGGTAGAAATGCAGGTAATCTATAGCATTAATAGCATCTATAGCTTTCGCTAATCGGTTAATTGACTACACCATTACATCCTTAGCATGATGTGGATCTGGTCTTGCCACCATAAAAATTAATTTTCATTAAAATTAATGTGAATACCCTGGCAGGCAAAAGGGGAAATGTGGAAAATGTTCACTTGTTTAAATGCTAATGTTTTAATTCCAGTGGTTACATAAGGACAACAAAGCTTTAATGCAACATTAAATGAAAGTTAAATGATAGACTGAATTCTGAAGAATGCTTATTTTTTTAAATCTCAGAATAAAATTAAGTACATGCCAAATCTTTAATTTCAACAGTAGCTCAGTCTTTAAATTAAACTAATCAAAATTACATTAACCACTGACTAAAGTTACAAAACCAGTAACATTTTAGAGTTTTGACTTTAACGCCTATCCATAATCCTTGTCCATGTCATAGGGGCTATATATGGTAGTGTGTGTAATGTCCTAAGACCTCTGTAATTCCTCCACTCAATTGCATGTGTTAAGGACAGAACCTGGTTTCTGAATTTCCTTGTTTTTCTGGATTTGAATCTGAGTATTAATTAATATATTAACGACAATTTAGTTTGGTTATTTTTAAACAGAAAAAAATAAGCCATGTTAAAAAGATACTTTTCTGTGGTTGAAAAATTAATGAACTTGTAAAGAATTTTCTTAATATTTTGACTATGTAGTCACAGCACAAGGATTCAGAACTATTACATAGTATATGTGGTGAATTTATATCAAGAATAACATGTAGCATAAATTACATATCCTTAGTATAAGTGATTTGTAGATTATTTTCAATATATCCTCACCTAAGAGATCATGCTAATTATGTATAAACAGTACTTTTCATATTAATTTATTAATTATACCCAATGTGTTATAAAACTTCATTAAAAGTTATTAACATGAATTCAAAAGCGTCACAGCAGGAAAGTACTGTATACACAAGTGTTGGGTGTAATACAAAAGTTATACAATACAGATTATGGCAGGCACTCTAAAGTCTGCCTAACTAGCCATCTTCAGTCTAGAACACTCAGCTACCTATATCTCTAGACTATATGTTCTTACAATATTCTCTGGCTGGGACCAGAAATGAGAAGAATCTTATGATGTTGCATTTTTTCGTTTGCTGTCCTTTCACAACTGATTTCTTTTTCCCATAGGGTGATTGAAGGATCTAAAACACACACATGTACTCTAAAAGCACTGAAATCAATCTCAATCAGGAGTAGTGTGCCAACCTAAGTGGTTAAATCTTGCCACTGTTTAGGAACTGCTCCCCCTAGAAGGTATGTGCTTGTAAAAGTAATTTCCAAAACCAGCATAAAGAGGCAAACCTTCGGGGGTTTCCACCTGCTGGTAAAAGCTCTGTCACACAGATAATACATAGCCCTTGCCACTCCAACAAGGGCTGCTTCAAAGGGATGAGAGCTGAGCAGAGAAGCTGTTTGTATGGTTGAAAAAAGTGGTCTGAAAGTTGTCCTTGGAAAAAAAATGGTTATCCTAGGAACCTGAACAATAGATAGGAAATGCTGAACATGAATGAAATTGTTAGCAGGAATTCTGGATTATGAAAATAAGCAAAACCATGACAACTTTCATATGTACATCTCAGCACACTGACTGCATCTTACTGATTAGGTATTACGCTGGGTGACATTGTAAGTATACCACAAAGGCCACAGATGGAAAAACAGTGAACTGTTTAGCTGCAGTTTCTGTGACTGCCCATTTACCATTGATATGCTGACATGACAAAGGACAACATTTGGAATTTTTCCAAGTTTATTTTCTCCCCACTCCTCTTACTTTAGCGCTAATTCTCTTGGTATGCTGAGATGCCTGTTCACAAAATCCTAGTTAGTATGCAAGACAGACCAGTTGGCTGCTAATCCTGCTAAGAAACTGTAGCAATGGCCTTTTTTCATTGGCACTGATGGCTATTTAAGGACAAACTCTTTCACCTTGAAGGGAAACTGCTGTCCCTGGAGCACATAAAAACTGAAACTGTCAATCCTTGAGGAAAGGATGAAGATGCATTCAGTCAAATAGTACACAAATAATATTTTTCACTTATCTAGAGGCTTCCACTTAACGAACAGAAGTATCATAAAAGCAGTATCTGGTTTAGAAAATAAGAGATGCCAGATTGCATGAGTTGCAGGGCCTGGTTAGGTTTAATGTTAAGAGTACACAAAACTGTGTAATGAATTTAAAACAAAAAGATCAATGATTTATCAGTTACCCACCCCCAGAGGGCACTATTGCAAAGATTAACAAATATATTTAGCAACAGCACATAAAACAGACTATTCAAAGGACTTCATTTCAACATCAAATTTTCTTCCTTTTCACTTCATTTACAAAAGCATGTTTAACAAGCTGGGTAAGGGATGACAGTGTTCTTTGGAGTAAATAATGATCCAAAACACTCATTTATGTAACCCATGCCGGACTCCCACAGATGTTTCCTTGCTGCTTTTGCTTGAAGTTTCTGTTGCTTATTTTTGTTGTTTCAGTTTTTTGTTAGAATTAGAATTTTTCTCTAGTGGGTCTATTACACACAACTGCCCCCCACTTTGCAGTAGCTAAATTGCAACGAATAGTATACAGAAAGAAAGACATATTTATGAAAATTTGAAATAAATCACATGAAAAACGTAACCAAGCTACTTAGGGAAAGGACCTCATATTTAAGCTTTTTAAAGTCACATGGTCCTCCAAATTTTGTGTTGGATAAGTAAATTGGCTGCTGGATTAATATCACAAAGTAATTAGTTTAGAAATACTGACAGTGTAGAGAAGTAGACAAGAGACTGATACAGAGTTGTTTTCCACTGCGTATTTTTGCCTATGAGTACTTATGTGAAAATAAATTTTATGGTCCCACAAAGAACAATTGCTGCACATTAATTCTTTTTACAGTGCCTCATCCAGGAACAATCCTCTTAAGTGTTAGAGGTTCCAAAAGTTACACTCTAAACAAACTCTTGGAGAAAAAATTCTAGGTTGTGCTATACTCCGCTGGGCTCATTTCTGTTCCTTGAGAAATGAGGTAAGATTACTTGATGCTCTTCAAGGTGGCTGACAGACTTTGCTGGGCCCTGGGCAAGCTGGGGAGAAAGGGGCACTCCTGGGCCCCTGGAAAGGGCGGGGTCTCAGGCAAAAGGGGTGGGGCTAAGGGTTAGTTTTCTCCAGCCAGCCTTTCAGTGCCACCCAGTGCATGCCACCTTGGGTTTTAGCAGTTATTTAAAAGGCCCAAAGCTCTGGAAGCTGCGGTTGCTGCTGAAATGGTGGCAGTGGTCGGGAGCCCCAGCCCTTTTAAATTGCTGGGCCCTTAAACAGCTGCTTCCTTTGTCCCCCATCCCTGCACACTCCAGTTGGCTGGCCTGATGCCATATTCAAGTTAGAAGTATGTGACACACGCAAAGCCAATTGTTTCCTTATAGAAAAGTGGGGAAAAACATCCTCCGTATCCCTGAAGACTACCGAATAATGACATTCCAGCCTCATCTCTCTGAAGGACTTGTCATCCACCAAAGAAAAAGAAACAGGACTTCAAAGCCCACCAATGCCACTCTGTCAAATAGAGGACTGGTGAGAATTCTTCCACTGAATGCTCTTATCAATCTGGCTATATACAGATACCTCAAAGGGGCACTTTGAACCCCTACTGCTAGGGAAAACAAACCATGAACTGAATCCTGGGCTCTTACATTAAGTTGCAAAGTACCCTGTGCCAGGACAAAAGAGCCAACATTCCGTCCCCTTTGCTACCAAGGCTCTGTTGGAAAATACTTCTCAATTAAAACTAATTGATCAAATGTACTGTACTTTCTTTTCAAAGAGCAAAACAATTTATGCCTCAGTGACCTCAACAATGCAAAAGTTGGAATCTTTAAAGATTTTTCTCTCACATTATGACTTTAACCAAACTACAAATAGTTCTTTACAAGGACAGAAGAGAAAGACATCCATTCCTTCAGCTGCGAATTAAAATCCTGAACCAAAACCGGGGAAAATAGATTCACTGCTGTTCCATTTGAGTGGAGGCAACTCCAAATCTGTTATTTAGAAGCTATATTATTTTTTGAAAGTGGCTGGAAAAAACTAACAACCCAGAGATGGACCTCAGTCACAAAGTTCAGATCCAAAGCCACACCTCTTCAAAGTTCTGGGGCATCTGAGAAAGAGAAAATTTAATCTTCATTCAAACTCCCCCAAAAATTCAGGACTGGCTTGAACTTGAGATTTTGTGTTGTATCCAGTTCTAACCACAATGTAACCAAGTTTTAATTTTGTTTAAACTGTGGAGTTATTGACGTCCTCACACTATAGCCAGTGCTTATGATACTTACAAGTGACCTGGAGCTCTGTTTTGAAGGTGGTAGGAATTGTCTCACATTGGTCGGTGTCTCCTTTTCAATGGAGTGTCGTCTTTGCGGTGGTTGCCGCCTCTCTGGCTGTGGCGTGGATGATATTGGCAAAAACTTCGGAGGCACTAAAGATTCAACCAGCAAAAATTAGATCCAATGACCATTCAATAACATTGTTTAATATTGGGAACAACTGCATATCGGTGGAAAATCTATTGTTAATTTCCAACATAGAATATCTTCATATAGACTTCAAATGGGGCACATTTTCAAAAGTGGATGAAGTGAAAATGTCTCCACAAAAATGCAAAGGCATCTACAGTTTCACCCACAGAAAAAACTACTCACGGGCATGCAATTACACAACTGACAGGTACGAGTAACAATCTTTGTGCATAATTCAGCTTTCTGAAGATGCAGTGGGACAGTAAGAAAGTCCTTTGTTGAATATACATTTTTAAACATAAGGGCACTGAAGGATGCCTCCAACCCAACCTACGTTGCCACTTGTAGAGAGTTCATGAAAAAAAATACTAAAAATAATACAGAAACTATTTCAGATAAACCTATGTGCTTTAGAAGCATAAAAATAGTTACAGAAACACTGTCAACTTAAAAATCACATTTATGTCAATCTGTTTGAATTAAATATTGTTACACAGTAACATCTACGATAACCATAACTGAAAAAAGATGACAGAGAAAAAATATTTATCTTTTTTTCAGTTGTTTTACTTGACGCATTGGCAGAACTTTGTTTATTGGAAAGAAAACACTAGGGATTTTTAATGTATTTACAACCAACTAATCTTAATAGAATTTTATAAAAGTTCCAGGACACATTTCTACTGAGCTAAGTTACGTACAATTTTGTTTTGAAAAAATGTATGTAGTTAGAGCCAACTGTGAGTTGAGAATGATCCTTTAAAAGGTCACCCACTTGTATCGCACAAGTACTGAGAAAAAGTCTGATTCAACAATATTAGAAGATCGTCCATGTTAAACAATCAATTTTTGGCATTCCCTTGAGCAATTGATGAAAACAGTTTTCACTGTATATCATAATACATTAAAGCGTTAATGGTAATTCAAAGGTCTAAATGGTAGAATCATAAAATACTAGAACTGGAAGGGACCTCAAGAGGTCATCAAGTCCAGTCCCCTGCCCTCAGAGCAGGGCCATTTTCCTAATGTCCAACCTAAACCTCCCTTGCTGCAATTTAAGCCCATTGCTTCTTGTCCTATCCTCAAAGGCCAAGGAGAACAATTTTTCTTCCGCGAAGAAAAGCGGAAGAGCAAACGTATTCCTTGGATGCAGCAGGGCTTTTGCGGGATACTGCCAGAGCCTGCCTCTGGAACCTTTGCCTCTCCCTCCCTCCAACCCTCTGCTCCCCCTCCTGCATCTCTGTCCCAGGTCACAACCCAAGCCCCTGCACCCCCTCCTGTACTAGGTCACAATCCCCTTTTGGACCTGTACCCCCTCCTATATCCCTCCTACAACAGGTCAGAATCCTCTGCTGCACCCATACCTCTTTCCAGACTCTGTACCCAGATCACAAACACCTCCTTCACCCAAAATCCCTCCCAGGCCCCACACCCCCTCCTGAATCCCAATGCCCTACCCAAAGCTCACTTCTGCACCCAGTTTCCATCCCAGACCCTGGGAAGAGTGCTGCCCTTGACCACTTACAAAATGCTGGCAGTGGCCCCCCCATCAAAATTATTGCCCACCCCTGTTATGGAGGCTAATATGTCCTTTCTACACTGAGGGAAGAATACATTACTTAATGAACCCCACAATGGCCAAGGTTCTGACCAGTGCAAGATGGGACAGTTGTGGGATGCAAGGCTGAGGAGCTGGAGGGAACTGACTGGAGCCTCCTTATTAATACTTAGTCACTGTCTAGAAGATGATTCATGTAACATGAATTGGTTGGTTGGTTGGGTGTGTCCCTGCCTGTGGATGCCTGTGTAAGTGCCAGATATTTATAGCTTGTCAACAGCATGAGGGCCAGCCCAGGTGGGCGGAACACAGGGCTCAATGATCCCTCAGTCCGGGTTAGATCCTGGGGATCCCATTGCACTCCCCAAAAAGTGGCAACTGGGTTGACAGAATTCTTCCACTGACCTAGCACTGTCTACAGTGTGTTAAATGGCTTAAATACATTGCTGAGAGGTGTAGATTTTTCACAGCCCTGAGGATATAACTTTTGTAGGATAACTTTTGAGTGCAGACCTGGCCTCAGTCACAGAATGTATGTAGCTCTGTATTCTGAACAATTTGTTTTAAAGAAGGCACATCTCAGTATGAATGCTTCTGAATAAATATTTTTGGTATTTTAAAAATGAAAGAAGGGTCACAGTACTTCATGCTGGTGATGAATTCGTCTAGTAAAGTAAATGAGTTAACGGAGGCCTCTGTTCATACTGCAAATTCAATTCTAGGAAAAAGACAATTTTCCCCATGTAACAAACAAAATGTAACAATATTTTCATTCACTTACATTCTCTCTATACAGTATCCAATGAATAGACCTACTGTATGACATATCCGTCATGAGGACATTTACTTTCAATGTTAACCTATTCAGCAGGTCTCTTTTTCTAGGGTTGAGCCCTACATGCCCACAAACACTGAGCTGCTCTGATTTTTTAGCAAAAAATGTTAATGCAAAATTCATGATAGAAAATGCTAGAAGGTAGGAAAGCAAAACAAAAACTCTGTTTCTGCTTAAACAGGCTTCCCTAGACACTAAATACTTACTCTTTCTACCAGAGTTCGCTTCTTGAAAACTGTCTTCCATTTGGGAAAGAGACACACTGGTGTTGCTTGCTGATCTGTGCATAGACTCCTCCTGGAAGTAAACAAAATTGGAAGACTTCGAATTTTTCAGTCAGTCCCTCTCACACTCCTTCCTCCCCATATAAATTATATATACACCAGCAAAAACTAGGCAAGCCTTGTGTAAATAGGATTTTCTAAATATTTTTGGGGGGGACAAACTGGAATACAGGCAGTCCCCGGGTTACGTAAAAGATAGGGACTGTAGGTTTGTTCGTAAGTTGAATCTGTATGTAAGTCGGAACTGGTACATATTTTGGGGGGAGACGGGGAGCTGGAGTTAGGTGGAAAAGACCCTGATTCTTATACAACTTCCTTATTCTAAGAAAAACACATACTTTTTTGATATGAAGGTTTTTTTGGTTGATATTTTAATTAAAAATTGATCATAAGTTTCAGTGTTTCATGCTATATCCAAATCTTCCTTTTGGGGTACCTGAAAGATCCCAGTTATTCATTTAATAGTCAGAATCTTTGGTTTTTATAACTAAAAAAAGTTTATTCAATGCATATTACTGTTCCAAATAGAATTTGCTACAGATAGTTCAGTGAAATAGGTATTAAGTGTAATCAATAGTCATTGGAGAGCACAGTGAAATATTGATACAATCAAAGCTGTTGTTGTATTCTGCTGAGCAGAAAATGGAAATCCCTTCCTGTGAAGTGTGTGTGAGAATTTATCCACAGGATTAATTTTAAAGAAAAATTCTGTGTTGGGAACAGGAGTTTAGCCACAGGTGGGTCCTCATTGTCCACTCACCCACTTTGCAACCAGACCCATCCCCTCGGGGCTTACCCTGCTCCGCTCCAGCCAGGGTGTGGGGTTGGGGCTTATCCCCTCTTCCCTTCTGCCCTGCTCCTCCCCATTCTTGCCCACCCACACCACTGGGTAATTTTTCAGCTTCACCTCTGCCAGGCTGGAAGGGACTTGTTAATTTCACGTGATGCTAACAAGATACTTGCAGCTCTAGTGCTGAAGA